TTTTCATATTCTAAAAATGCCAAAGGGTTTTTCTGATAAAAGTAAAAAACGTTTAAACAGTTATGATATGTTTCAAATGGTTATACCATTTTTCGTATTTTATAATACCTTTATTTTTTAGAGAGTAGCAGCGTTGTTAAAAGCGTGAAGGTACTTTTTGATATATCATCGAGTGCAATGGCCAAAACCGGGTGTTTGTGTTATGATCTGCCTTCCCCAGCAGTTCATAAGGTTCATTCTCTCTCCATTCTGCTCTTGTACCATTCTTGCGCAATTCTGTTATATTATTGCGCAACTCTTATTTCATTCTTTCGTTTTCGTTTCATTCCGCAGGGTATTTTCCCAACTCTTTCTGTTTTTATGGACCCCCCCCTTCTGACTCATATATTTGAATCAGAGGTGGGCGAAATGTACTGTGGCATACTCGATCACATACCGTCAGGAACGTCGCGACAACAGGAGTAGAGAGGGAGATCTCCCCGCCTGCTTTCTGAAATATTTGACTCCCAAATCCGGTAAGTTTTTGCTTTGGAATTGAGATCAACAATCAACACTATCTGGCATAAGATCTCGACATATATTCTAGTAGTGAATCTTACGAGCGATTATACACATATAAACAGTTTGATTTCATGGTACAGAACAGACTCGGATAGATAGTTGATTTTCTTCCAATTTGTGTATTTTGCCTAAGTATCCTAGTTTTCTATTTTAATAAAATCACTGGATGAAAGTAACAGTAACTTAAAAATAAAATAAAATCTGTATTTTTACAGCAGCTCGGGTTTTCTTTTAACCGCACAGTACACTACGGAATTATTCGATCATTTGGAGTTTCACCCCTAGTGAGTGCACTTGGTACAAGTACTTGATTACTTGATGAGTACTTGGGAAGTACTTGAGCAAGAACTTGCCAAGTGTCGCTATTTAACTTGCTTCAGCCAAGTACTTGGATAAGTCAGTCATCCTTTTCTTTTGCATTGATCATTTGTATATAAACACTACAACATAATCGTTATTCACTTATAAAAGAAACCTATATATTTCTACTGGGTTGTGCAAACTCAGTAGCCGTGTATGTATTTGCCCTACAAAAGTAGAGTATAGCTGCAGCATCTGTATGAAATACAAAATAACAATAAATGGAACAAGTACTTGACTGAACTTTTCAAGTAAATTTACTTGCGTTGTGTCAGCTAAATACTTGACAAGTAAATATTTGAATCATTTTTTAAGGTGAAAAATTTCAAAATAGATAATAAGATATAAACCACCTTTATCATAATGAAAAATATCGCTATTTTCTGTTAGAGACGTTTCGTCTTTATTCAAAAGACATCATCAGTCAAATGTGATACTCGATACTTGATCAAGTATCGAGTATCACATTTGACTGATGATGTCTTTTGAATAAAGACGAAACGTCTCGGTATTCCTTTAGCAGATGCTCCCCCAAAAACGTGGTGACATTAAAACTGATGCTCCCATACGTATTCGGTGTTCCCCCACGGAACCGAAAAGGTGCGGTAACATTATAGCTGGTGCTCCTCATACGTATTTAGTGTTCCCCTATGTTGAAAAAATTCAGTAAGGTTATGTTTATGTGCAAATTAGTTAAGTAAAGAAAAAATATCTTTTCTGCTTTTACCGTTTCCTTGGGCAGAGCCAACTCAAAACTTAGTGTTGCGTCTATTTTAGAAATTATATGGTTATGATGTTTTAATATAACATCGAAGACAATATCATAGACCGTCGGATGTTCAGAAGCAACTACCGTTGACTGATGCAATTTTTTAAGAGAAGTAAGTCCATATTGTCGGGTCTATGCTATATCGGGTAATAACGATTGTTCATTCTTTAAGATTTGCACAGAAACAACAACACGAGCGGATTAGTACCATACGAATCCAATAGTAACAGCAATAGCAGCAGTAGCAGTGATGACAATCAGCCCACAAATAACCGAAACTATGGCAAACGAATGGACGGTAAGTTATAACTTAATAATAATATATAATAATTAAATTGTAGGTCAACCACAGTCAAAATTTTGGTGACCCGCACACTGGCTGTCACACACAATTAATCGAATGTTTGTGGGATCAAGTGAAAACCAAAATTTTGAGAGCCATGCGCGGTTCAACATTACTCGACAGTCATTTAAACAAATTTTGGTATCGCTCAGTGCACAAGGACATGTTTTCGTCGATATTAGCAGACATTTGTCGTTTTCGTATGTAAGTTTCTTATTATTTATTTATTTATTTAGTTTCTCATTATTTCTTTCTGTACTTCTTTTTACTTCTTTAAGTTTTCTTTCTACTTACTAAGTTACTACTTTATTTTCTTATTGTTTATTTTTTCATCTTTTGTTTATTTTTCCAAGTTTTTGATATCGAAAATTTCTGTACTTTTAATTTACTTATTGTTTGTTCTTTCATTTTAACATTAAAAGACTACAAACATAATCTTACTGAATTTTTTCAACATAGGGGAACACTAAATACGTATGGGGAGCACCCGCTTTAATGTTACTAAGGGGAACACTAAATACATATGGGTTTTTTTCTTAACTTTTTGGCGGTACCCTCGCTAAACATAGGAAATTTTCCAGGTTATCAAGTGTGCTGAATACGAAAAAGCACTTTTCTTTAACTCTAAATGAACTTTAATTTTTTGTCGGTGATATGAGCTGTAATGTTACTAAGGGGAACACTAAATACGTATGGGCAGCACTAGCTATAATGTTACCGCACTTTTTTCGGTTCCGTGGGGGAACACCGAATACGTATGGGAAGCACCAGTTTTAATGTCATCACGTTTTTGAGGGAGCACCTGCTAAAGGAATACCAACGTCTCTAGCGATATTTTTCATTATGATAAAGGTGGTTTATGTCTTATTATCTATTAAGTAAATATTTACTTGGAAAAGTCCACAAATACTGTCCTCATTAGTTAATTGCGCAAATACGTAGATTTTTTCATCACTAAACTAAACTGAGTCATGATCGGACAGTTTAAAATGAAAGTTGTTTCCACTGTGCCGTCTGTCATTTCTTTTCCAAGCGTTTCTAGGCGGAACCATATCCGACATTTTTTCCTCTTTAATTATGTTTTTCAGATTCACGAACCTCTATTAGTTCTAATTTCAAACCAATGATATTGTATATTTTGATCATGTTATGTGACTGTGCTATCACATCACATCCTAATAATATTTGAATTATTTTTTTTTCACTCTGAAGTTTACGCGGTCATATGTTTGATAAATATTATTCATTCATTTTTTTTATGTCGGATTTGACTGTTTTATCAGAGATCGTCGGCGGACGAAAACGGATGTGATAACGTAATATTTTTTATTTGGTATTCGTGTTGTAATTATTAATATAAACAACAAGTTGTTTTTACCTGAGTCAGAATCAGAAAGAATAAAACCAGAACGTGCGTTCTACTTAGTCATTTTTATTTAGAATAAATACTTAGTCATTTTTACTTAGAATGAATACTTAGTCATTTTTTATAGAAGCCAAAACTATTACAAGTTGCTGAATCTGCCTCTTCCTTATTTGCTGTCTTTTCTTTCATTGCGTCTCAGCCCGCATTTCTCATCAGGAGCATTTCCCTCCTTTTGTAGTATGGCGACACAGAAGAATACCAAATTTGATGAAGTCTGGGAAAAATTATCGACTGGTATTCATAATGTATATGATCATCAAGCCATGCAATCACCAGCATGGATGGAATTATACACCCACGTTTACAATTACTGCACATCAACTGCAAGCTCGCCTGCATCCTCTACAATACCACATAAAGCACAAAAGCCTTCTCGCACTGCTGAACAATCTAAACATACTGGTGCTGCACATCGACCACCAAATAATACTGAGGGTGCTAACATTGTTGGAGGAGAATTGTATTCAAAATTAAACCAGTTTCTTAATAGTTATTTAGAAGATTTGAGACAAGTATGCTTCATAGAAAAAAGGATGCGATCGAAATTATAGACGTTTTTTGACTTTTTTTGCAGCATGGAGTTGATTTACAAGGGGAAGCTGCACTCAGTTTCTACACCGATCATTGGGAAAAGTATCAATTTTCAAGTCGTGTACTCCATGGTTTTTGTTCGTATCTAAACCGTCATTGGGTTCGACGTGAATATGAAGCTGGTCGAAAAAATATCTACGAAATATTTACAGTAAATGCTTGACAAGCTTTGTATTTAATAAACTAAAATCTTTTGTTTTGTTCTAGTTATCTATGACAATTTGGCACGAAGTTTATTTTAAACCATTGAATAATCAAGTGACAAGCGCGTGTTTAAAATTGATACAAAATGAGCGAAATAACGAAGTTATTAATAGTCGATTGATTGCGGGAGTCATACAAAGTTATGGTAGGAGAAGATATTTTATGGTTTTTGACTAATGTATATTTGCTTAAAACACAGACTTAGTCTTTTATTTCAGTTGCACTTGGTTTCAGTGACGATGCAGCGTCAACATCCAACACACGAATGACAACACCGACGTTAAATGTGTATAAAGAATATTTTGAAAATCAGTTTTTAATTGATACAGAACACTATTATAAACTTGAAGCAGCTAATTTTCTTATGAGTAACTCAGTTACGGATTATTTGAAGAAGGTATTAAATAAAAATACTTTCACTAATTTAAACAAGATGTTCAGAAAGATATTTATTTGTTTGTTTAGGTTGAAGCTCGTTTAAATGAAGAAGTTCATCGTGTATCATCCTATTTGAATCCATCAACGTTGAATCCATTGATTAAAAAATGTGAAGATGTACTTATTCGTGATCAGTTAGAGACAATTTATGCGGAATGTAAAGCATTATTGAATGATGAAAAAAATTCAGGTAAAAACGCTTGAATTTACTACTAAAAAGTGGATTAATTTATTTGTCCTTTTTCTTGTAAAGATTTGGCGAGATTATTTAAATTAGTAAGTCGTGTACCAAATGCCAATAATGAATTAAAAAAAATTGTTGAAGAACATATCTATACAAAAGGAATGGAAGCTATTCAAGCTGTTAGTGCTCAAGCAGTTAATGTAAGAATAACCCTTAGTTATTGATCAGTTTGTTTTATGTTTTATTCTTTTTTTGTTTAGGACCCAAAAATATATGTACAAACAATTCTTGATATTCACAAAAAGTTTATGTCACTTGTACAAGAAGCATTTGGTGGTGAACAAGGATTTACAGCTGCATTGGACAAAGTATAAAAATGCTTCCTTTTGTTCGTTTGATTTTTTAGTTTTATTTCTTCTGTTTTCATAGGCTTGTGGAAAATTTATTAATAATAATGCCGTTACAGTTAGTGCTGGTGGAACACAAAAGTCGCCCGAATTGTTAGCTCGTTATTGTGATTCATTATTGAGAAAAGGGTCAGTTATATAAATGTTTAGTGTGAGAAGGGTCATAAAAACATCTGATACAATTTTGTCCGCTCTTGTTTACTAGCAGATTTGCAAGGTATTTTGTGTTAGTGAGGTATCGTCCTTCAGCGCACAAATAATTTAGCCACATTTTGGGCTTTTCTCTACAACGTTCATATTATTAAGTTAGTCTATGATAGTAATGTTGGATAATACTGTCTAGTGCAATTTATTATTTTTCGGTCTTTACACAACAATAAATCATATAAACATGCTTTTTAAAAATAATTTGAGTACTGTTGGTTTGTTAAGCGTTCTTTAGATATCGCTATACTTTAAACTGACTTTCTGCTAGTGTTAATATTCTGATAATCAAACTTTTTCTACCACAAAGAATCATCACTAATTTATGTGCTTTTTCATGAGAAGAGATAGTTTTATTGTAGAACAAAAACTGCTGATGAAACCGATCTTGAGGAAATATTGAATCAAATAATGGTTGTATTTAATTATATCGAAGATAAAGATGTTTATCAAAAATTTTATGGGAAAATGCTTGCAAAACGTTTGGTGGGGCAATTATCTGCATCAGATGATTCTGAAGAATCAATGATATCAAAATTAAAAGTAAATAAATTTTGAAAGATAGGTTTTTTTAATGTTACATGTGTTCGTTTATCTAGCAAGCGTGTGGTTATGAATATACATCGAAATTACAACGAATGTTTCAAGATATTGGTGTTAGTAAAAATTTGATTGATCAACATCGAACGTGGTGTGAAGGCAAAAGAATTAGAGAAACACGTAAATTGATAAGTGATTTGAGAAGATCAGTTTGAAACTCAATGTATCGTCCTTTGTTTAGTTGATTTTTCCATCATGGTACTTAGTTCAAATTCCTGGCCATTTTCTGCACCACCAGCATTCAATTTACCAACAGAAGTGAGATAGCAGAAGACGCTGCAGCCATCTTTTCTAAGCACAAGTTTCCCTTTCGTATTTCTAGCTGAAACCAACTTTTGATAGTTTTACTGAATTTTATGCAGCACAACATAGCGGTCGAAAATTGACATGGTTACATCAACATTCAAAAGGCGAACTCCAAACATCATATTTAAAACAAAAATTCACATTACAAGTAAGCTTCTTTTCGTGTTTAGATTTCTGTTTAGAGAGATGCTACTGTGATCGAGTGCTCTATGGATGTTTGATAAGATAGAACGACCAAATTGATCAAATGACTCGTAGACTAAAACAGCAAGGCATTTTGCAACTAATTCTCTAAATCAAATTTTCTCGATAAGATTAATAAATGTTTTTCACAATAGATCAAGAAATTGAATTAAAAAAAATTAAAAAAAGAAAAATATTATGAGAAACGGAATACTTACTTGTCTGACTAACATTTTATTTTTAGGTATCGACATATCAAATGGTTATTTTATTGTTATTTAATAAATCGTTGGAGTATACAGTTGAAAAAATTCAAGACAAAACACAAATCAAAGTTGATACATTATATCCAGTTCTATGGTTACTGTTGAAATTAAAAGTATTGGAATGTCCAAGTATCAGTGGAGATGAATTAGAAGAAGAATTGAAAGACAGTGACATCAAAAAAGAACATATCATTAAATTATCAAATGATTATAAAAAGTAAATTTCTTTTTTCATCTATGAAATCATTGCTGTACTAAATTCTCGTTTATTTAAAGTAAAAAAATTCGAGTTAATTTAAATATGCCATTGAAATCTGAAGTTAAACAAGATTTGGAAGGTGTACATCGAACAATTGATGAAGATCGAAAAATGGTTATACAAGTATGTTGAGATGCATTTATTGATGATTTAACTTTATTCAATTCTGCTTCGTTCATTATAGGCAGCTATTGTTCGAACAATGAAAGCAAGACAAACGTACAAACATACACAACTTATTGCAGAAGTTCTTTCGCAATTAGCATCTCGATTTAAACCAAAAGTGCCAGTCATCAAAGTGCGTTATGATCTTGTGCAACAGAAAACTTTTTTCTTTTTAATCTAGAGAAATATGGATGAGTTTGTGACATCTATTGGCTATCTTTTTTTGCACGAATATTCATTTTGAAATGTCATCTCCTCCCGACGGTGGTGTACCTAGATTTCTTTATGTTAAAACAGCAGCCATACCTTTTTCCATTAGAATTTAATCAGCTCATGTGATGTTCTCTCTTACTTTTACTACACACATTTTTATAGATTCATATCACCTGCTTTTCTTTTATTCTAGAAATGCATTGATATGTTGATTGAAAAAGAATATCTGGAACGTTTACCAAATGAAAAAGATACCTATCGTTATTTAGCGTAACAAATCTAACATTAATCGAACACAGACGGTTTCGAAATCGTTTCTTCTGTCATTTTTCGTATGTTTTTTTTGCATATCTGTTTGTGTGTGTATTTCATAGACTATTACTCATCGCCAAATTGTAAAAACTGAACATTTCAATGTTTAACCAATTTGTCAAAAAGAGGATGAAGAGATTGTTGATCAGATACCTGATTTATTTTGACTTAATTTTGTACTATGGTCCCTGAAGAAAAGTGTCTCATCCTCTGAATCCCGTCCAACATTGCAACAGAACAGAAGTCTTTTGTTGTGTGTTTTTATATGAAAATATCTCTTCTGTTGTTTATCGCTGTTATTTAACTGTTGTTTATGTTACTCATTTCGTCCCATTCAGACAGGAAAATCTCATTTAGTATCTCTAGCTTTTTGTGCATCTCAATAAGCTGTTTGTAAGATTTATTAATTCACTCTCTCTCTTTCTCTCTTCTGTCATATGTACAAAACGCATACATATTCATTCAATCGAGAAACTTTCATTTTTTCTCTTTTTCACTATCATCACTGTTTTGGGTTGCTCTTACTAAAACTAAATATTCTTTTTTGTTGTCTTTCGTTTCAAATTGATTCTGTTCTCGTCAAATTGTTTCTGTTCAATGTTTTTCTGTTATCACTGGATTTTGTTTAAAAAAACATTAGAAAATGGAATATACACAAGAGAAACAATATGTAACTTTGGTGAAGAAGCTGTAGTGATTGCGAAAATTTGGTGACAATCAACGCGAAAAAGAAAAACTTGAGTTTTAAGAAGTACTTCTACAATTTTGAAAACAAACGTTTCAAATATAAGATATAATTCAATATAAATTAGGTTGCCATTCTTTCTCATAAAAACCTTTTAAATATGTTTTTTGGAAAGACTTCAGATCAAACATTATGTGTACCTTACGACAGTCAATATGTTCTCTCTTCTCCTAATACATGTCTCCTTATCTATCAAAAAGGTCCATGATAGAAGTTTTACTTGTATGCTCGAACATGAATTAACGACGTCTGTTTTAACAGAAAAATCAGACACCTAATAAACTGAAGTATAAATGGTCAGTGCAATAGTGATAGAAAATGTCTTATAAAAGCCAGTTTTAGAACTGAACGGCAAAGCAATATACGTCTAGCATGCCTATTTATTAACGAATTTGAATGTTATAATATTAAAAAAAGCGTAAAAAACTAATGAGAAAAAATATTACCGGCCAACTTATTGAGAACTGATAATTTGACTAATGGTGTCTATTGCAGAAAATTTATCATTTTCTGAAATCAATAACAATTCGTCCACTGATCTTGTTATGTATCATATCATCAAATATTTGATTTATATCCTCTAATTTCTTTGTTTGTACTTTGCATGTGATGTTATTTGATTTAGCAAGATCCAGTGCTTCTTGAAGATCTTGTCTTGTACCAACTATACTACCTACAAGTTCGATACCTTGAAGAACAGTATCCACAATCGGTACAGACATGTTTCCTTTTGGTAGACCCTAGAATGAAAAAACAAGCCTTAAAAAGTAAATGCACGTCTATTCAACACTTACCACAGCAACTACCCTTCCACCTCGTTTAACTGATTTGAAAGCTTGATCGAATGTAACTGGAACTACGGCTGTGACAACTGATGCCTGAACACCGCCAATTTGTTCTTGAATCCACGAGCCATGTTTATCGGCTGGACCATCATATACTAAACCAAGAAAACATTTAGCTTAATATGTTATATTATGAAAATGCTTTCGTTACCCAGGTCAGCCCCAAACTCTTTTGACAGCTTTACAGCTACCTTCGATTGAAATATTAACATAAAACATTCTATTTTGTTGTTTAATGCATGAGCTACTTACTTGATCATTTTCTTGAACAACTGTTACTACTTTCATTCCCATTGCCTTAGCATATTTTATCGCTACGGATCCAAGACCACCAACGCCAACAATGGAAACCCATTGTCCTGCAAGACAACGGTGTATGTTCGATGAGGTATGTTTTCAATACAAACCACGTACCTGGGCGCACATTACTAGTCTTCAGGGCTTTATAAGTTGTTACACCAGCGCAATACAGCGGAGCAGAGATAACTGGATCTAGACCTTCTGGCAATTTTATTGCAAAATCAGCATCCATTCTATAATTAAGCGAACGTTTTCATTTTTCATTAGTTTTTGTTACGATGAATTAAGTGACATACAATGCATATTCGGCGAAACATCCATCGATTCCATAACCCGAATTAATTTGTTCCTTACACAATGTTTCACGACTTGTATAACAATACTCACAATGTAAACATGCAGAATGCAACCATGGTATACCAATAATATCACCCACTTTCAAATGATTCGCATCAACATGTGTTCCCAATTCGACAATTTCACCAATTCCTTCATGACCAGGTATTCGCGGCAGTTGTGGCTGATTATCCCAATCACCATGAGCAGCATGAAGATCGGTATGGCACACTCCACACACAATCATTTTGACTAGAACATCGTTAGCTTTGGGTTTTGGGATCTCTACATCTTTAATTTCCAGTGGCTCTTTAAATTTAGTAACAACGGCTGCTTTCATCATTTTTGCCATTTGCTCTGCTTTATTACTTTACAGTGTTTGTTAAAAAGCTAAAATTCATTGATAAATATAACATGTACTATTACTTGATGAGATGATTTATTGCGAAAGACATGACCAGGCCTATTGCCCGCTTTCATGGCACAGTAGAGAGATAAAGTTTAAACATATTATAAACAAACAAACACACATCTTTAAAAGAAACAACAAGGTATAAAACAGTTTAACAAATAAAAAAAAGAAAGGGACATCACAAATCATAAATTCAGCAGTTTATTTAAAATAGTTTTGATTGGGTTTAAGCGCAAACTTAATATGTTTGTTTCATACTTTTCTTGGTAAATCAGATAGTTAAAAATATCCCAGGTCGACACTCGCGTCTAACTCACGGCGCGATTGCCCTGTCGCGATAGCTGTGAACTCGCCAAGTCGCCACGCGATCGCGATAAAGTCGTATCCTTTCAAGAAACGTATTTTAGAAGACTCGCGACGCGATCGCTATTGATTCGCTATCTCGCGTCGCGATCGCTATGAAGTCCTGTAGTCACGTCGCGACTCCGCAAATCTCTCTGTATCGTCAATCACACACGTGGCCAGAGTATATATATATATATCACATGGAGCAATCTATCCTTTTCTAACATTTTTCTTCAAACGAAGAAACATGCTTCTTATATATATATATTCTCGTCACGTGTATGATTGACGATATCAATGTTTTTTTTCTCAATTTAAACGAGACAAAAAAAGTGTCGATCATATGTCACTTTATTTCTTAAAGTAGACTACTTTTATATTCGAACTTTTTGCAGTTTATATCTGCTTTTTGAACCTTTTTAAAGTTGAACTAAACCATTAAAATAACCAATTTACAGAGTAAGTACACAACAGTTGCAGTGAGAGAATAGGGATATATAAAATCCTTTCTATTTTACTGTCGCACAGTTGCAACTTTTCTCCATTCATTTTGGGTATCAAAAGTAGTTCTTCTTTCTCATGAAATGCACCAAATATACAGGCTTTCTCAGTATAAAGACTCAGTTAATGTTTCCTGTGTAAAGATCTGAAAATAAAACTGCACAGAAGTGAGAAATGCATGAAAGGCTGATGTTATAACAGTTGTGAGTATCCTCGGTGTAATATCGCTTTGCCGTTAGTGACTGTCAGGATGTAGCGATGATCAGTTCGGTTCTGTTTGACGCACGGAGGATTGGGGCTCAGCCATTCCGCCCCATTCACAGAATATTGGATTGGCAAAAACTAAAAAATTGTAACTAGCGAAAATGAGACCTACTTAGATACGGGAACAGAGAGTTGAATTTACTGCGTACACCCTCTGAATTTACTACCTGACTCTCTATTTATACTGATTTCTCCTTTTCAGATAAAGATTATAACAAGATAAGCATTGTCTGCTCGCATTAAAAATTTGATTGCACTATGTTCTCGAAGAAAAATCCGAGTAAATCATAGTGCAATCGAAGATAACAAACGATGATTGGAAACCTGTGGAACTAGTACGTATCGGTGCAACATAGCATGCCGTCCGCACTGATAGTTCCGGCCTTTTTTCAGTACTATACTGGGATTTTTCTGTAGGAGCGTCGGCAGCAATTCAGCAGAATTTTTGTCACTTTCGTGGAAGATCTTATATAAGAATTGAGTAAGATTCTTATAAGATGCTTGGAAGATTGGAAGAACCGATCACTAGGGCAGTTAAAAACAAAGATAAAAGCAGAAAACAGCTATTGCGAGCGAATTTATACAAATCGCGAGTCGAGGGAGAGTCGCGCTTTTTTAATTAGAGCAAGCGAGAGTCGCGCCGCGACAGCAGGACTCGCACCGCGAGAAAGGAAAATCGCGATTGATTAACTGATAAAAAACGCGAGTCGCGTGGCGATTATAGCGAATGTATAGAAAAACTCGCGTTTCATCGCGACTTTATAGCGATCGCGAAATTAGCGAGAAATTTTACGAGTCTATAAGCGATAGCGTTACGCGTTCGCTTCGCGACTTCATCGCGATAGTCGACATAGGTAAGATTTAGAAAGATATCATTTGTAAGAAAACCGTACATAGTAAAAGAGCGAGACAACTGAAAAACAAAGTCTTTTAATAAAACACAAGAAACACGCTTATGAAGTTCACGAGTGGAAAAACTTGTTGGGAGACGTTAAGCGATTTTTAGACTAAAGTTTTGTACGCGTTGAAGTTTAGTCCAGCTAGGGCCGCTAAATCATCGGCATACATAGAGACATTTACTGTTGCAGAAGTGCAGAAAGAAGGGAGATCGTGAATAAAGAAATTGAAGAGAAAAGGAGAGAGGATGCTCCCTTGAGGTGTACCAGTCATGTAGTGAAGAAGAGTCATGTACTATTACTTAGAATATACTTTTTCTCTTGCGTTTATTTTCGTGGTAATTTTTTTTCTTGTTCTCCTTATCTTCGAACTATAAAGGGGTTATAGTACAAAATAACAACTGTGCGGTTGAGTGTGTTTTTTCGTCTTGATGTATGAATGTAGATGTATAAAGAAAAGGTCGTTTCATTTTTCTTTCTACACTGAATATGTTATATTTGTGGGTTTTTCTTTCTGTATGGGGTAGGGTCGTACTTTAAGTTCGTCAATGCTTTAAGAGGTGTCAGCAAATGGTAGATAAATACGGATACAAGGAGGACGTCGGAAAATATAGATGTTCACGCTACTTTGTTTAAATTTATGGGTATTTGGGAATTCTTCGCAATTTTTGGATTATGGATGCTAGCAAAACGTTTGATTGAGCCATTCTAAGCGCGGTCAGAAGTATAATTATTGTCCTTATTGATTTTTAGAGAAATGAAGTATTTTTCCTTCTCAGAAAATGCTTGGACATTATCGTGTGAATAAGGGTCGTTTAAAGTTATCAGTTTATTTCTTACGAAGAAATCAAATAATTGTAACTACTCCTAATGATAATTTCTATCTACTGGCAAAAAAATTGTTTTAGACAGAAACAACTCTGCTCTAACGCAAGAAAAGTGGACGAATTAAGAGACTTTTCGGTCCGGTGTAAAATAAACATAAAACCATAAGGGAAGTAGAGAGCACTCATCTCCAACCAGTGGAAATATTAAATATAAAATATTTTTCATTTTTGCAAAAAAAATGTTTTTCTGAAGAACGAAAGACCCAAAACAATGACTTTTCTGGAACCAGACGGAGACAGGTAAGCATCATCCTCTCTCCCTGATAGATACACCTCTGAAAACGATAAATAAAACATAAATTATACGATCTGGGACCAGTTTCTTAAAAAAATTAAAACCTTGACAAGTGCGTTTCTTTAAAAAAATTAAGTCAGACAGATCATGCAGTAAAAATCGTTCGTATTTTAGACGACTTAAATTATTTTACAGCAATTTTTTGAACAAAATCTCTGAAAAATTATTATTCAGTCTAACTATGGTGACTTGAATGGATTACGGACTTCCAATTAACAACAACAAAAAAAAGCTAAAACGTTACAAAATTTAAACAATTTTCTACTTAAAAGTTTAAGTGGAAACTTAAGTGAGATCGGGGCGTGACTTAAGTTAAGTAATGTTTGCGGAATACAATCAACACATAGCATGCTCCACACAACAAATGTTATAACAGACTATCGGACAGAAAATAAAAAAAGCAAAATGAGAAATAAGAATATATACTGCGATTTTCCATTGGTTGATGGCAAAATAAGTTGTTACATTCTGTAAATGAATATTTTAAATTTGTGTGTGACTCAAAAATACGACTATGGTGAATTAATCGGATTTTACATAGCTGTAGAATGTTTATGAAATAGGTGGCGCTAGAAACAGTTTAAAAGTTGACGTTTGACAATTAAAGCAGATGTGGTTCACAAACGTTGCAGAAGATTTTGATGAGAGAAATATCTTCAGCAGTCTCATGATCGGATAGGTTGCAGATTTACACCGCTTTCATGGTAGGACGTTTATATTCCTCTGCTTTATTTTTGAATCCTTGTAACTTTGACTAATCCTCCAGAAAACATAAAAAACAGACTGTGTATTTCCTTTTTTCTGAAGCGAAGCTCAGATCAGAATAATCTGTGCAGCCTTTCCTTCAGTTTCATTAGTACAGTAGGGAAACCATATATCATCGGTCCATTGTCACGTGTCATTCACGGCACGATCGCGGTGGAATCTTATATTCGCGCCGCGATCACTATAATGTCACGAAGTCGCGGCATGATCTTGATCAATTCTTACTTTATAAGATCCCGATCTCGCGGTATAGTCATTTTTGAATTGCTCGAGCGCAAAAGAATTCTGTTTCTCTTATTTCAAATTGTGAGAATTTATATTTCGTGTATTATACAAATAGATAGTCTACATAATGTATTGACACATAGCATATGCTGTTATGTTATAAACAGAAATTCTGTTTATAACATAACAGCATATGCTATGTGTCAATAGACACGTGTGTGATTGAAGATATGTGTTTTTGTTATTCTCATTCTAAATGAGATATACAAAAAAGAATCAGTGTCCGTTACGTACAAGACACGTCATATTTTCTTAACGTAGGCCACGTTTCCACTACAAAAGTTAAATGAGCAAAAACGAAGCTGATTGGTCAAAAAGTTAACTCTGAGTTAAATGTTGTTTCGGACATCATTTAACTCGGCAATTATAAATCAGCTCATTAACCAGTAATACGGTTTCATTAGACAAGGAAGCTAGCGGCTGTTCGAACATCTGACTCTCTGCTCAATTTGTCTGTATTGAGCAGGAAGTCAACTATAGAACGTGAATTCAAACCAGCCGGCTGTTAGCAAGCCGCAGCTTTTGAGATTACTGAAGCCAGGAAGGAGCACAATTTTAGGGGAAATGTCAAAATCTTATTGGTGTGTTAAAGATTTAAGTGTGAACGCTCTCGAAGTGGACTTTGAGTTATGATTAACTCAGAGTTAATTCTAAAAAATTTCTAGTGTGAACGTGGCCGTAGTGTGTAGACTATTTCTACAC